CCGACCCCGGCTGCCTAGTGAAGGTAGCCAGGTGACGGCCCGTCCGAGCACACGTGCAGTGTGTCACACGCTCGTAGGCAGGGGTGAACTGGTGGACACCCCCGTCCTGGAGCGCACAACCCGCCACCAAGTTCGTAGAGAACGAGGGGAGGTGGAGACCTGACAGAGTGCCCGACGGAACCGCAGGACAAGGAAGGACAGTGGAGGAGGTCGCAATGACCGGACCCCCAGAGGGGTCAGCAAGGGAGACAGCAACTGGCCGAGCAAGCTGCTCAAGGGCAGTGCGGTCACGAAAGAAACAGCGAGAAGCGCCTGAGTCTAGAGTGAAGGTGTGCAGTGCCTCAGTGGACTCAGTACCAGGGGGCGCAGACTCACTAGCACCTGGAGCAGCAGCCTCACCAGCACCTGGGGCAGCAGACACGTAAGCACCTAGCGCAGCAGCCTCACCGGCACCTGGGGCAGCAGACACGCAAGCACCTAGAGCGGCAGCCTCACTGGTGCGAATGCCCGGGTCGGGCGGAACACGCAGGTACTGATCCCCCTCTCCACTAGTAGACAACACATACATGGCAGTGAGAATAGCATCAAAGTCAAGAGCAAAGACATCAATGTTCTTCTTCATCAGATCCCACCAGCGAGGCAGCTCAGTGGCAGCAGGGAACTGAGTGCGCCAAGCGTCGTCGAGGCGGGAGAAGCAGCGCTGCGTGGTGTGCGCCCTCCCACACGTCTGGCCAGTGCGCTCACCAGTGCGGATGACGTACGTGCAGCTAAGGCCACCCCCCCCCCCGTGCTGAGAGTACCACTCACGAAGCTCCTGGGGAGAGAGAGTCTGCTGTCCGCCAGCGCCACCACGACCACCACCTCCGCCGCCACCACCTCGACCACCACCGCCCCTGCCGCCGCCTCGTCCACTGCCGCCCCCACCACCGCCCCCACCCCGGCCACCTCCTCCGCTGCTGCCGCCACCACCCCCACCGCTGCCACTAGCCCCTCCTGCCCCGCCACCACCCCCACCGCCTCCACCGCCCCCACCACTGCCTCCCCCGCCGTCACCTCCACCTCCCTTGCCCCCTTTGCCCTTGCCGCTGCGGCGCCAGCTCGGAGCGGACGCAGTCCCGACCTGCTCAGTACCAACTAGGTCGACAGCAGCAGCAGAGGCAACAGAGGGGAGCAGGGGGGAAGGGGAACACCCCTTGAAGAACGGGGTGCGGGGGTCGCCACGAGAGGCAGCTACAGCGACTATGCTAGTCTCGGCTGCAAGCAGCTCCTTCTCGAGCAGGTCAACGGTGAGCTCAGTGGGGCAGCGAGCGAGGAAGTGGTCCCTGACCGCACGAAGAGAGTCAGGGAGACGGGTGACAAGGTGGTAGAGGGTGAGCCAGAGCGGGGGGGGGTGGGTGGCAAGAAACTCAGCGGGCATAGCGGCACGGAAGCGAGCCTCACTAGTGCGGAGGTGCGTGGTGAGGTCAGCGACTGTGGCGAAAGCGGACAGGTCTGGGAACAGGTAGGGGAGCGAGAGACGGCCTAGCGCAGCAGAGGCAGGTGAGGAGTAGCGTGCAACTACAGCAGTGTACAGTGCCTGTGCAGTCTTGTGCTGGCCAAAGTGCTCGCGCTCATCTACCGGCAGGGAGTTGCGAATAGCGAAACGAGCGTGGGCGTCACGAGTCTGCCACTGTGAACGGGCAGTACTGTCAGCAGTAGCAGCAGGGGCAGCAGCATTGCCTAGCGCATGATCGTACAGTGAGATGTCCTCCTTGGCAGTGAGCTGGAGGAACAGGTGCAAGTCATCTAGCCAGGTGTCAAACTTCACTGGGCGGCCCTCGGCATCGAAAGCGAGTACGGCGGGGCTAGCCATAGTAGCAGTAGGAGTAGCAGCAGTCGAAACCCTAAAAGCAGCAGGCAGCGCGACTCAGGTAGGGCGGCTCGGTCCAGAGAGGGCTGCTCAGTACGGGGAGGGTGGCGCGGCTCAGTTCGGGCGGTGCGGCTCGGCTCGGGCTGGGCGGCTCGGTTCGGGCGGCTCGGTTCGGGCGGCTCGATTCGGGCGGCTCGGTTCTGGCGTGGCCGTGGTGGTCGCGCGTGGGGCGGCTCGGTTCTGGCGGGGCCGTAAGGGGCGGCGGACGCGGGGCCGACGGGGCCTCTAAGGGGCGAACGCGGGGCCGACGGGGCCGCTAAGGGGCGGCGCGCTGGGTCAACGGGGCCTTAAGGGGCCGCTAAGGAGGCGGCGCGCGGGGTCGACGGGGCCGTAAGGGGGGCCGCTAAGGGGCGACTCGCGGGGTCGACGGGGCCGTAAGGGGCCGCTAAGGGGCGGCGCGCGGGGTCGACGGGGCCGTAAGGGGCCGCTAAGGGGCGGCGCGCGGGGTCGACGGGGCCGTAAGGGGCCGCTAAGGGGCGGCGCGCGGGGTCGACGGGGCCTTAAGGGGCCGCTAAGGGGCGGCGCGCGTGGTCGACGGGGCCGTAAGGGGCCGCTAAGGGGCGGCTCGCGGGGTCGATGGGGCCGTAAGGGGCCGTTAAGGAGGGGCGCACGAGGGCGCTGGGGGGAGGCGCTCGAGGGCGCTCCGACAGTAGGGCGCACGAGGGCGCTAGTAAGCAGTCAGTGTGGTGGGCCCTTAAAAAATTCGGTCCTAGCGGAGGTCCTGCTCTGAAACCATGTCAGAAAGAACGAAACAGGAATGAATGAACTAGCACAAAGTTGGGTACAAGTAGGAAACCCTAAGTTTGTGTACCCCCTAAGGCTAAACCCACTATAGCCTACACAATGTAAACATACAATGTTTGACATTGTTGGGCAGGCGGACGGGGAGCTTGAGGTTGAGTTTGCTGTTGTTGTTGACGAGCATCTTGCTAGCTGACCCAGTTGTTTTGGTGAGTGGAGTTCTGGGGGCGATTGTTGAACCAATACCTGCATCGATCCGTTGAGGGTCCAAATATCTTGCAGATTTTGCAGTAGTGGCGCCGCGGTTGTCGTCGCTCTTCTTGATTGTCGGCGTAGAAGGCGAGATGGTTCCGTCATGGCGCTGACTTCGACTTGCTTGTGTCCATATCTTGCTGATCTGTCAGAAAAACGGCACACAAGGCGGCTTCTAAGTTTGTCCCCCTTTGTCGGAGCAGCGCTTTGCAGGGCTTCCACTCAGGCCCGAGTCCTTGGAAAACTATGTTGACGAAGATTTCCTCCGAAATTGCGTTTCCATGCTTCGTGATTTGATCACGGATTTTCCGACAGCGGTTGATGTACGAATTCGCTTTCTCCCCGTTCCCCATCTTTGTCTCCATGAGTTGCTGCAGGAGCCTGCTGGAGGTGACTGGGTCCTTCGGCTGATATACCTTGACGAGGTGCTTCCAGGCTTCCAAGGCTGGAGCGGCGCTCTCTTTGTAGGAGCGGATGTCGAGTTGCTCCGCGGGCGTCATATTCCATAGCAGCACACTGTACGCCATGAGAGACTCGCCGTAGTACCGAGCCCGTGCGTCTTCAGTGTCTTCCACCGGTTTAGGATAGGAGCCGTCGAAGTAGTGGTACATCTGCGCTGTCTGTAGGAGGAGCTCTAGCTCAAAACTCCATGTGTAGAAATCCTTACCGTTGAAGGCGGTAGTTGTCTTGATCTTTGAGACACTAAGAAAGCGTGCTTGCGCTGAATTAATTGCTTCATCACTTGGACGGGGGGTTGTAGATGTTGATTTGTCTGTGTCGAGGGAGAAGGTGTGCGCAGCGGTATCACATTGTTTGTGGCCGGTTGAGCAGGTTGTGCTGGTTGCGAGGAGATTCCCGCGTCGCCTTTACGCAGTGCTTGAGATATTTCTCCATAGTTGATAATCGTTGAAAGAGCTGCTCGAGTGCTGCAGTGCTGATCGTAGTTGTCGCCTCATTTGTCGCAGCTGGGTTGGCTTGTCCTTCAGCCGTTAGATTCGTTTGGCCTCCGGATCCTCCGCCCATCTTTGTATTGGAGCGTGTGCCGGTCGCCATATTTTAGTTCGGCGAATTTTACGGAAGTGTTGTTGCGAAGAATCCCTAAGTAGCTTTCATACCATGTTACAATCCTAAAAAGGACTTAGCGAAGGATCGTCTCAGGGTTGATCGCATGTAGTTTATTGCAGCGGAAGTGTTGATCTCATGTCAGAGTGAATGTAAATGACAGAGATGATAAAAGCATGCATACACCAGGTTTATATAGGAAATACAAAAGAATGCGAAACGACCTAGACTAGCCATGTACTCTAAGGGGTACATTCCCTTATTGCAACGAAGTTCAAACCGTGCGGCGCGGGAACCCGTTTCAAACCTGTTCCCGCTCTTTTCACTTCGAATGTTTCTGCCTGCATCGGTCTTGATCTGACGGTTGCTGGTGTCGCTTCGACTCTTCTGACTCCTCGACTTCGTACTCGGTATAGTCGGCTCCTGCAGCGTACATGCCTAGTTTCATATCGTAACAGCGTGAATAGTTAAGGAAGTCTCATGTTTTCATTTCCGTGTTGAAATGTATATACCTCAACAATACAAACAAGATGGAGATAATAATGCTAAAATTAGTCACATTTTATGCTAAGAGGGTATTATAAGCAGGAATTTGAGTCTATATACAACGATGTAACATACACTCCTGCACTTCGTTGTAACGGAGCCATTCACTTAGGTGACTGAAGAGTTTGGTGACCGGGCGTTCTTCTCGATTCTGGGGCCCAGAAGTCCCTGCGGGGCAGGGGAATGGGCAAATCCTACGGCGCACTTTCCCCTTCAAATGAAAATCGACGGAGATCGCTTTACATCGGCGAGTGCATTGGGGCACGCTTGGTGCCACCGTGGAATCAAACCATTGGTTGCACCGATCGTCGCGACATCTTCACGCGGATAATGTCCGACATCTCCATCGCCCCGGGATTCCCACATCTCGAGGCTGCATCAGATTCTGCGCTGGAGCGGCCTCTCTCTGAAACCCCATTTCTCCTCCACGAGTGTGACTGGTTTGCAAGTGTACACTCCGCACACCTGCACTCCACGCACATCTGACACCATGGCCGCCACCGCTGCGTCCGCTAGCCTCAAGGCTTCCACGTTCGTGCAGCCTAAGATCAATGCCGCCTCCCTCAAGGCTGCTCCCGTCTCGCAGGCTTTCGGCCTGAAGACTGCCTCCGCCAAGGTGTCGTGCTCCGCGGAGGAGAATGTGCGCGGCTTCGTGCAGAAGTGCGCTGATGTCGGCAAGGCCGCTGCTCTTGCCCTCGCCTCCACTGCCCTGGTCGCCTCGGTAAGTCGGATGAGCGTCGGAGGCTAAAACGTAAAAGCACCAGAGCCCTTAGTTCCTGCATCAGACTCGAGTGTTCAAGTGGACTGGACGTCCCGTTGGAATCCGAGCATAGGCATCTTTGCCGCCGCTACAGTCTGAGTGCTAGATTTTTTCTCATCCGCCTTTCCTGCGTCCCTGTTTTTGTTCGACTATTTCTCATCCGCCTTTCCTGCCTCCCCGTGTTCTTCCTGTCGTACAGTCTGCCCAGGCCGCCGTTCCCAGGCTGACCTTCGACGAGCTCCAGAGCCTGACCTACTCTGAGGTCAAGGGCAGCGGCATCGCCAACCAGTGCCCCATTATCGCTGGCGGTGTTGACGGCTTCGCCTTCAAGTCCGGCAAGTACCAGGTCTCCAAGATGTGCCTGGAGCCCACTGGCTTCACCGTGAAGGCTGAGTCGCAGTTCAAGGGCCAGGGCGAGGAGTTCCAGAAGACGAAGCTCATGACCCGCCTCACCTACACTCTGGATGAGATCGAGGGTCCCCTCGAGGTGAACGGAAACAACCTCAAGTTCACGGAGGTTGACGGAATTGACTACGCCGCCGTCACCGTCCAACTTGCGGGTGGCGAGAGGGTTCCGTTCCTGTTCACCATCAAGGAGCTTGTTGCCTCCGGCCCCGCTGACAGCTTCGGAGGGTCGTTCCTCGTGCCGTCGTACCGTGGTGCTACCTTCCTTGACCCCAAGGGCCGCGGTGGTGCTCAGGGCTACGACACCGCCGTCGCTCTGCCCGCCGGTGGTTTCGGCGATGAGGACAAGCTGCAGAAGGAGAACCAGAAGAGCTACAAGGCTCTGAGCGGCAACATCCAGTTCAGCGTCGCCAAGTCAAATGTTGAGACCGGAGAGATCGGCGGTGTGTTCTCAAGCGTGCAGCCGTCCGACACAGATATGGGTGCCAAGGTGCCCAAGGAGGTGAAGATTGAGGGCATCTGGTACGCCCAGCTTGACTAATTTTGTTTAGAGACCTGTGTTTATTCCCGCGTATTGTAAAACGTCTTGTAAATCCAAAGCTGCATACAGTTTTCCCTTAAATCAACCCGAATTTCAAACCAGCAGAGCAGTCTCCATGTTGGTTTTCGAGTACCGGTAGATCAGAGTTGTCAGGTACGCCATGTCTGGCAAGAAGGCCAAGTTTCCACATGAATATCAGGTCGTCAACAATAGGCTGAAATACATACGAGGGCCTGTAGTACCTGTAGTAATACCGTACTCAGCCTCCGGAAGCAAGGAGCAACTGCACAACAAAGGAGAAGAGAGCACTACGTCTAAGATGGTCAATGTTGCAAGAAAGACTGAGAGGCACGGGTGAACATCACAAAAACCTTATCAGCAGGCAGGGGCGCAAAAATAGCATTTGGCATGTTTTCCACCAATTACCGGTAACAGTTTCGGGAGAGTGATTTACGATTGATCTATAGAAAAATATTCTCTGATGAGCATGCAATCCTATGACCCTAAGAAGAAAAACCAATTTTGACTAACCAGCACAGGTTACATGCGTGTGAGACACAAGGAACAGCAGTCAGCTGGATGTCCACATGACGACGAGGCGCTACAATCATCCAGGCACGCCATCTCATCATGAGGCATGCAGATATGTGAAGAGCAATATCCAAACGAGCTGCAGTGGGGCAAGCGGAAACGGGATTGAGGAAAAAGAGCACAGCAGAGCTTGTTCGTATAAAACTGGGTGTTTCCGAGCCTCAATAAGAGCAACAAGCTACCTGCAATGACAAGCTAACTCCACCCAGTCACTTTCACAAGAATGCGCAGCGCACATGAGAGTTCAGAAAAGGGTGCCTGAGTTGAGCAGCATGGGGGCGGATGAGACGAGACTGACCAGGAAGACGCCGAAGGAGTTGAGGAGGCCCTCCTGCAGCAGTGTCCCGTGGCCGCCCAGCTCCTCCGCGTCCACCTTCACCACGAGCGTGTAGTACCCCATCATCACCGCCGTGCTCAACACCAAGAAGCTGCCTCACCAGTGGGAGAAAATGAAAGTCGGAAAGAGATGAACTTGCTGGGATGTGATTGGAGAAATGGCACGGCACTGGCTTCAACTGGGCATCTCCAGTTTGCATCACTGACTGGCTTTCCTGACTGGCTTTCCTGACTGGCTTTCCTGACTGGCTTTCCTGACTGGCTTTCCTGACTGCTAGCACAGTGTCATCACAGCCAAAGAACACAATGGAACTGACAAAACGAACCTCCCACTACCCTGCCTACTACCCACCATCAAAACGAAACCCAACATCCCGACCTCCACACACAGCCGCCACTGACCCGATGATGCCAATGCCGCCTGTGATGGGCGCAATGCCCCACACGACGCCAAAGAGCACCGCAAGCACCTGGCGCATCCAGTACAGCACGTCCTTGAATGCATCCTGCCCGGGGGGCGAGGGGCAGAGGGAGGGGAGAGGGTGAGGTGGCATTAGAGTCGACTCAAGAGCACCGCGAGCACCTGGCGCATCCAGTACAGCACGTCCTTGAACGCGTCCTGCCCGGGGGGCGAGGGGCAGAGGGAGGGGAGAGGGTGAGGTGGCATTAGAGTCGACTCAAGAGCACCGCGAGCACCTGGCGCATCCAGTACAGCACGTCCTTGAACGCGTCCTCCCTGGGGGGGGGGACAGGGGGAGGGGGGCGTGCGTGGGAAGGGGCAGAGGGCGGCAATGGAGGGGACGAATTGAACGGAAACAGAGGAATGAAAAAGGACGGTCTTTAGGTCATACATATGTTGCTTTCATAAAAAATGGGACATTGGCTTCATACCAAGCACATCATGCTGGGTTATGCGCGGTCACAGGAGTCAAAATACCTGCCACTACCACAGCATAGCACATTCCAACCTTCCATCTCATACGCCATCCCCCTTGCCCACTTTGTACCGGGCCTTCCCACCACTCATGTCATCCCCCCGTCCCGCCATACCTGATCCTCAGCAACATCTGGTTTTAGTAGCGACGACAGCAGGCCCGATTGCGACTGCTTCTGTCGGTGTGCCACGTGAGGGGTGGGGGCGCGGGGAGTGGGAGGCACGGGAGAACGTGAGGGAAGGAAACGAGGCATTGTAAAGGAGTGGAGAAGACGTCATTAAGAGTGAAGGGCGCCGGGGAAGGGAGAGAACCACAGTTGCACTCGCCTCTCTCGTCACTGCATCGCGCCCCTCTGTTCCCCAGCTACCCCTGCACCAAGGCATCAGCTGTGCGACAGCCTCACAATCGCACCATGCCAGTGGCTGTGCGACAACCCCACCGTCGCACCTTAGTCGCCATGGGGCGGCGCTCTGCAAGCCCGCAAGGCTGAATCTAGTCGGATAAAGACCCCCCTGCTGCTCCTATCGTCGCCACGCCACACGCGACGCTCCGCTGGGCGGCAAATCCCCTGAGCGAAGGCCAGGGAGGCGCGAGCTCCAGGGCTGACCCCTCCTCGATCCCCGATGGAGCAACGCGGTTCGCTTGTGACGAGGAGACAGCGGTCGTGGAGGTCACTCACGCGCTGCACGAGGGACACGTGTCACACGGAGGAACGACGCGGCTGTGAGATAAAAGCAAGGGTTGCATGGACGGGTTGGGTGCGCGCATGTCACAACCGATCAGTGGTCGAGCGTCGACACGCAGCACGAGGCAAGGCCCTACGCCCTCTTGCAACGAACGAGCGACGCAACGACCAATAATACACCATCGCTCGTGGGATCTCGTCGGATCACTGCAGAAGCTGAATTCTTGTGACCTCGCTGTCTCGTTTTACCTAGCACTTTTCGCGGTCTATTGCCCGTTTGGCGCCAAATTACTCACTCGCGGTTTCCCGACGGGTCGCGAGGCGTGAATGGCCGGAGCGGACGAGGCTGACCAGGCATGGAAGACGGACAGTGAGGAAGATCGCACATGTGCCAGTGACCGAGAAAGGAGGCTTTGTGGTGAACTCGGGGGACCAGGAAAGCCCCAGCCCTCCGATCCAGAGCAGATTCGTAGTCACTTAAACCAGGTCCTTCAGGGCGTGTTTTCCAGCATCGCACCCAACGTTCCTAGCAGTGTTCCTTCGATCTCTGCCAGACCCATTTTTCTGGATTGCTTTCTGCACATTGGTACAAAGCGTTTGGTCCCAGGTGTGGATCATATGAAGCATGCACGCTGAACACGCCCTTTAGATTTTTTGCCTGCGAGTCCCTTGGTGGTAACTGGAGAAGCAGTCAGCTGAGGGAAAACAGCCCATGCTTTGGCACTCCGTTTCGCGAAAGGTATCGCAAGCATTTTTTGCAGAAGAGCGTATACGCGGTATTGGGGTTAAACATAGTAGTCAGAAAACAAACACAGTGAACTGTTCCCAGAAGAGATGGTTGTGAGGTGCACTTACAAGGCAATCCCAGACATCCGTCTATCTGTCAATCTGTGTTTGAGATTACTCCCGGACAGCCCAGTGACGCGTGCATGGCTCCCAAGGCTCGCAAAGGCGATGCCGCCGCGTCTGCGAACGGCGGCGGCGATGCGGGCGACGATCTGATGGCGTGGGTGGCGAAGAGTCGCAAGCTGGACGACAAGCGGCGCGCGGAGAAGGAGAAGGCGGAGCGCATGGCGCGCATGCTCGCCGACCAGGTGCGACTCGCTCGCGTGCCTCCGCCGCTGCCTACCCTTGCATGTTTCACCCCACCTCGTGACGAGCGTCCGTCGCGTTACGAAAGCGTGACCGCCGTTGCTATGGATTGCCGTGGCGTGGCACATGGAGGGAGTGATTTATTGCCAATATATTGTCTGCTGCTTGCTGCTTAGCTCGATTCTCCGCTGGCGCGCAATCTTGTCGTCTTTTACTGATGCACTTTGTATGAATAAAAACCGTCGTTTTTATTTTCCTTGAAAAAGACAATGAAGATTTTATTCCCCGCAGTGCCGTGCGTTTGTCGGTTGTGATCTTACCGCAGGACGATGCGGCCGCGGAGGAGGAGGAGGACGACGAGGAGGAGCAAGGAGGGCGGCAGCGGTCATCGCGACCAGAGTACACCTCTCGTGAGCTCCCACTCCCATGCCCCACCCGGACCACCCCTTCCCCCCACACCCCCTCTACCCTGCTCCCCTTCCCTTCTCGCAAGCCCATCCGCACACATCCCGTCATGCGTGTTTCCTCCTGCTGCATCTCCTTCGCCCCCCACCCACGTCATGCCGTTGACCTCTCCTCCTTCCCCTCAACTGCCTTCCCCCCAACTGCCTTCCCCTCAGCTGCCTTCCCTTCCCAAAACCCTCGCTCTATCTCCTTCCCATCGCCAACTACCTCACTCCATCCTTCACCCATTCCCTCTCGTCCTCTCCCCCCGTTCTCTCTCCCTTGCTGCCTCCCGCCATACGCCATTCCGCTGCCCCCTCCCCCTCTGCGAGCGTGCAGGCGACCTGGCGGGGCTGAGGGTGAGGCACGGGGTGGGCGCGGTGCTGCAGGAGGGCGCGGCCGTGGTGCTCACACTCAAGGACGCCTCCATCCTCGCAGGGGACGACGTCAATGAAGGTGGGGAACACCTGCCTGCCTGCCTTCCTGCCTGCCTGCCTGAGAGTGCTGCGGTGCGGGCACCGATGGGTGGTAGGAGAGCATCTGAGTGTTGGTGCATCCTGCTTCTCTCCATGCCGCCTCGTTTGCCGGGTTCCTCCCCTCGTGCTCGTTCGCACGCACCTCTTTGTGCACTCACCTCTTTGTGCACTCACCTCTTTGTGCACTCACCTCTTTGTGCACTCACCTCTTTGTGCACTCACCTCTTTGTGCACGCACCTCTTTGTGCACTCACCTCTTTGTGCACTCACCTCTTTGTGCACTCACCTCTTTGTGCACTCACCTCTTTGTGCACTCACCTCTTTGTGCACTCACCTCTTTGTGCACTCACTACTCTCTTTCTCCTCCCTCACCGCTAACTCTTTTCCTCCTCCCTTCGTCCTCCCCTCCTGCTCTCCTCCCGTTTTACCTTCCCTTCTCCCCCTCCACGTGCGGTGCTGGGCATGGCGTGCTGTGCTGGGGGCGGGTTGCAGAGGAGGACGAGTTGGAGAACGTGGAGGTGGCGGAGCAGAGCCGGCGAGACAAGGCGTACCTCGCTGCTAAGAAGACCACCAGCATTGCCGACAAGTGAGTGATGGCGGCAGTGGTGGTGACAAGTGAGTGATGGCGGCAGTGGTGGTGACAAGTGAGTGGGGCAGTGGTGCTGACCTTGTTCGAGGATGGCGGCGATTGGGATGATGGCGTTGCATGGAGTGCTGTAGACAACAGAGACGTCAGAGGCTCCTTCTAAATGCCCGCCTCTCTCATTTGCTGCCTCTCACCCTCCCTGCCTCTCACCCTCCCTGCCTCTCACCCTCCCTGCGTCTCACCCTCCCTTCCTCTTGCCCTCGCTGTGACGCTGTCCCCCTTGGGGGAGCAGGTTTGCGGAGGGCGAGGGAGAGAAGAAGCCCATGCTGCCGCAGTACGACGACGGGCACGACGACGAGGTGAGGGGCAGGAGCCGTCAGCATGGAGTTGAAAGGGCATGGCATGGGTGTGCAAGCGATTCATGACCACTGCCTTCGCACATTGGCTTACAACGAAGCATTATAACGATGCGCATGCGCTCATCAACTCTACCTTCCCCCAATTTCCCCTGTTTCCCTTGCTGCCGCTGTTGTGCACAATTGGGCATGGCTGTGCTGTGGTGGTGGCGTGTGTGGGTGGGTGGGCGGCAGGGCATAGTGTTGGACGGGTCAGGCGGGCTGGACGAGGCCACTCGCTCCCGACTGGACCAGGTGAGCAAGCATGGCGGGGCGAGGGGGAAAGTGAGGCGAGGACGAGTGGCGTGGCGAGGGGGAGGGGAGAGGTGAGGCGAGAGGGAGAGCAGACGAAAGGGGGGGCAGCGGTGCACCCATCCTTCCAACCAGTGCACTCTGCAGGAAGCTGTGAAGAGATGACATTGCAATCCTGGCCCTGGCTCGCCTCAGAGACTCCTTGCTGCTCCCACCCTTGCTGCTCCCACCCTCTCCTCCACTCTGGGAGCATCCCCATCAAGTATGACTCTGCTGCTCCGCTCCCCCCCTCCTCCTCTTGTCCCTATTGCCTTCCCTCCTGTCCGTGCTCTTCTCCATCCCTCACTCCCCCCCTCTCTTCCCCTTCCCCCTTCCCGTCCCTCCCTCCCCTCTCCCCCAGTGCGTGTTCGCAAGCGTCTGCATGTGAAGCTTGTCTTCTCACCTTTCCCCCTCGTCCCCCCTCCCCCCCCCCCCCCCCCCCCCCCCCACTCTCCTCCCCCTGCCCCTTTCCCTTCTCTCCAGGTGCGCAGCAGGCTGCAGGGCGCAGCAAGCGCGCTCCCCCCTGCCCCCCACGCGCTGGGCAGCACCACATTCGGGGGAGGGGCGGATGGGACAAGCTTTGCCGCCCCAAAGGTGGCGAGCGACTTCCTGACGGCCGAGGAGATGGAGCAGCGGCGGGCGGCACAGTTCAGAAAGCCAAAGCGGAAGAAGGAGAGCAGAAGGAGAAGAGGCGGAGAGGAGGGGGGTGAGGAGGGGGAGGGTGGAGCAGGGGACGGAGGAGGGGGTATGATGAAGAAAAAGAGGAAGAAAGAGAAATTAGATTTGGATAAGCTGGAGGCGCAGGCTCGGGCGGCAGGTTTGGGGAGAGGCTCGGATCTGGGGCGGAGGGATGGGGAGGGAGGGACGGGGGTGACGGCGAGGCGGAGGGAGGAGCAGGCGAGGGAGGAGAGGGGTGGGCGGGCGGCGTATGAGAGCGCCAAGGCCAAGGCTGTGCAGGCCTCGATGGCGCTGAAGGGGGAGAGAGATGGGGGGGGAGGGGAGGAGGGGGCAGTGGGTGGCAAGGAGGAGAGGGGGGTTGTGAAAGAGGAGATGGATGTGGATGGGCGAGCGGGAGGAGAGGGTGGGTGGGAGGAAGGGGGTGGAGGCAAGGTGGTGAAGAGGGAAGAGGTGGAGGAGGAGGAGGAGAAGGGCGAGGGCGAGGAGGCAGGCAGGGAAGGGGGAGAGGAGGAGGAGGAAGAGGACGAAGAGGGAGAAGGGAAAGGGGATGAGGCGGTGGTGATAGGAGATGACGATGAGGACCTGCAGCGGTCGCTGCAGCGCGCCAGGCAGCTTGCTGTGCGGCGGCAACAGGAGGAGGCCGCTGCCAGGGCTGCTGCTGCCGCTGCCTCTGGTGGGGCGAGTGCTGGGGGTGGGGATGAGGGTGACGTGGGGAAGGTGAAGGAGGAGGCGGACATGGAAACAGGGAGTGGTGCGGGAGGGACAGGGGTGGGGGTGGGACCAGCAGTGAGGGGCGAGGCGCTGGTGCTGGCGCGGGTGAAGCAGGTGGGGCGCGTGAGGAGGAGGCGGGCGGCGGAGGGCGAGGAGGGGGAGGAGGGGGAGGAGGGGGAGGGCGTGGGGCGTGGGCTTGTGTTCAGCGACACTGGGGAGTTCTGCCGGGGCTTGCAGCTGGATGATGGTGAGCTGGCAGGATGGTGGTGAGGTGGCCGGACGGTGGTGGTGAGGTGGCAGGACGATGGTGAGGTGGCAGAGAAGGTGCAAGGCATGAGGGGAGTGTAGCATGCAATCAATTTAAATCCGCACATCATAGCGGCAACACACCAAGAAGGCGGTTCACCAGTTGCTGCTTCTGGTATGTACTTCGACCCTGACCCACCTGGGTCGAAACTACCTTTCCACCTTTCTGCTCCTTTCCTCCCTCCTCTCCCTGCCCCCATGCCCCTCGCCGTGCAGCGCTGGTGAAGCGAGTGAATGCAAGGGAAGCCGCTGCTGCCGCCAAGGAAGAACTGGCCTCTGCCGCCGCTGCCCTCCCCGTCCCCCCCTCCTCCTCCGCTGCTGCTGCTGCCGCGGGGAGTGCGGACGGGGGCGGGTGGATGGAGGTGAAGCGGGAGGGGCAGGACGACGAGGAGATGGGCGAGACAGAGGAGGGCGCGGAGGGCGGGGGCGAGGGCAAGGGCGCAGGCGAGGGAGCGGAGAAGGGGGAGGGGGCGGGGGCGGGGGAGGCGGAGGCGGGGGTGGATGCGATATCGGAGGCGCCAGTGGGGACGGGGCTGGCGGCAGCGCTGGCGCTGCTGAAGGACAGGGGGGCGCTGAAGGGCGAGGTGGAGTGGGGCGGGCGCACCATGGACAAGAAGCGCAGCAAGCTGGTGGGCGTGGTGGAGGAGCCGGGCAAGGAGCGCGTGGGCCTGCTGGACGAGCACGGCCGGGAGCGCCCCCACGCCTTCAAGGAAGTGCGCATCGACCGCATCGACGAGTTCGGGCGCGTGGTGAGTTGGCTGTGTGGGGAGTGGGGCGCATGGTGGATGAGCGGATGTTTGCAGGGGTTACGATTCGTGGAGTGCAGCAAGGAATGGGTTGCCGTGCAGCGTGGGTTGGCATGGGGCATGGCGTCACCTGCATGTGACTGTCAACCAAGGTCGTTTGTCCTGTGAGAGTTCCACATCTCCATAGCAAGAGTTGAAACGCTGCTGCTTTCTTCTCTCTCTCTCTCTCTCTCTCTCTCTCTCTCTCTCTCTCTCTCTCTCTCTCTCTCTCTCTCTCTCTCTCTCTCTCTCTCTCTCTCTCTCTCTCGCTGTCACCCCCCTTTGTGTCCCGCAGATGACGCCCAAGGAAGCGTTCCGCAAGCTGTCACACGCGTTCCACGGGAAGGGGCCGGGGAAGATGAAGCAGGAGAAGCGCATGCGCGCTTATGAGGAGGACCTGAAGCGCAAGGGCATGGCGGCGGGGGACACGCCCATGCACTCCGTGGAGCGCCTCCGGGAGGTGCAGGCTCAGACGCAGTCGCCCTACGTGGTCATCACGGGACATGTGAAGCCGGGGTGAGTGAAGCCGGTGTGTCATGTGCAGGATGGAGGGAGGGGAAAGGCTGTCTCTGTTTCATGGCAGCGACTCAAGGAGGTGCCGGCGCACACGCAGTCGCCCTACGTGGTGATCACCGGGCATGTCAAGCTGGGGTGCGGGAAGCTGGGGTGCGGGAAGCTGGGGTGTGGGAAGCTGGGGTGCGGGAAGCTGGGGGGTGTGACGTGCAGGATGGAGAGGGGTGGGGGCTGTCTCTATGTCATGGGAGCGACTCAAGGAGGTGCAGGCTCACACGCAGTCGCCATATGTGGTGATCATGGGGCACGTGAAGCCGGGGTGCGTCTGTTGAGGGGGTTGAGTGTGTGGTCAACATTTGTCATGTGCAGGATGAAGGGGCGTGGGTGGGGGGGGAAGGCTCTCTGTGTCTCTAGGAGGTGCAGGCGCACACGCAGTCGCCCTACGAGTCTACGGCGTCGTCACTCAGCATGTGAAGCCGGGGTGAGTCCGCAGGGGGGGGTTGAGGTTGCTTGCTGAGGCGGTGAGCTCGTGAGGGGTTGCATGGGGGCGTGAGGGGGATGTTGAGGGTGTGATGGGGGGGAGGGAGGATGAGGGTGTGAGGGGTCATGTGCATGATGTGATGGAGGGTTGGGAGGAAGGCTATTTCTGTGTCATGGCGTCACGTCAAGGAGGTGCATGTCAAGCGCGGTTGTGGGTGGTTGAGCGTGAGAATGGGAATTCGGGCAAGGAGTGTCATGTGCAGGAGAGGGAGGGGGGGGGATGAGTGAAGGATGGAAGGAGTGTATGGAAGGCGCTGTTTATTACAAGACATGAACATCTGATGTACATGTGTGTGCGTGTGTGTGTGCATGTGTACACATGCGTCTCCTCCCCCGGTGGGAGCAGGCAGATCTCGGACCCGGCCAACTCGTTTGCGACAATGGAGAGAGAGAGGGAGGTGGTGGGCAGCCTCACGCCCATGCTGGGCGACGCCAAGGTGAGTCGCGGGGCAAGGTGAGTGGCAGTACTTGATTGTAAGGGAAGGTGATTATGGGTGAAGGAAGGTGAAACGCATGGTGCTTCTGAGCTGCATGCTCCACTCATCACGGCGGTGGGGGGAGGGCCAAGGGCAACAGGTGCAACTGACCTTCCCACCCACCTTGCCGAGGGTTCTAACGGGGCGGAGAGGGAGCAAGGCGGAGCAGGGGGGCGGTGCGCGACCTTCCCACCCACCTTGCCGAGGGTTCTAACGGGGCGGAGAGGGAGCAAGGCGGAGCAGGGGGGCGGTGCGAAGGAGTGGCAGAGAGGTGGTAGCAGGCGGTGCGTGGGGACTCCCATGGGGCTCTGCTGCTCTTAGAGGGTGGGCACACTGGGTGGCATTGACAGGTTACCTTCACGTGCTCTTGCTGTGGCGCTGCAGCACTTCTTCGTCTCCCTTTAACCGCTCTCACCCCCCCCACCCCCTTCGTCCCCTTCGTCCCGTTCAACCCTGCCATCCGCATCACCCCGTTAACCCCCTTAACCATCTGCTCGCTCTCCTGTCCTGCTCTCTCGTCCGCACCCTCCCCCCCACCGTGCCCCCCACAGGTGGAGCAGTACCTGGGCATCAGCAAGCCCCCTCCGCCCTCCACTCCCGCCTCGTCCCGCACGCCCATGGGCCCTCCACGCGCCAAGCAACCCCGCCACTGATGCCCCTCGTGCCCATCGTGCCACTGCTATTCTGCCACCCATGCGCGGTGTGCGCCGTGTGTGATCAAGGGATGTCATGTACAGCACATGCTGGTGAAGCTACCTCGTGCTATGCTGTTCTGCCACATACTGCACAAGACTGCAGTCGCTACAGCAATAATGCTTCATATTTCAGCGCCACTGGATCGCTGTCGTTACTCAGTTCATTGTTTGTTGCCGAAATAGCTCATAAGCATGGAGAATGTTCTCAGAATAGGAATGCAACGGAATGCTTGAAACTAGAAAGTGTGAGAGTACAAATATGCAACCCTAACAACTGTACTCCCTATTGTGCTACTCACTGTAGCCTACAAGCATAGAATTACATTTGACACACCCCCATAGGCTAAGTGAGGGGCATCAAAGCAAGCAAGGTGAACAAACGGTCACAAGACCAGTCAAAGCAAGAAACAAGGCAAGCTCAGGGTGGATCTCAAGGACACCACACAAATTCCGAGCGCAAGCAAGCGGCCACAAGGCCAGTTCAAGAGTTCACTAGGATATAAATAGGAAGCACAACAAGCAGAGCAAACAACAAGACTACAGCAACCGAGGGCCTACCTCAACAAGCCCCAACTGCACACAGAACCTGTGGTGATCACCAAGCGCCAAGGCCTTGGTGAAGACGTCTGCAGTGTTGGCCTCTGAGGCCACAAAGTCCAGGCGTGCCTGGCCGCGTCGCTGCAGCTCTCGCAGGAGGAAGTACCTCACGTCAATATGCTTCACTCTGCTCTCCAGTCGAGGCTCTCGACACAGGAGGATCATGGCCTTGTTGTCAGCGTACAAGGTCGGTGCAGAGCGAGGCCGCTCACCAAGGTCGGCGAGCAAGAAGGTCAACCAACGAAGCTCCTGTGCCACCATGGCACCAGCGCAGATCTCTGCCTCTGCACTGGAAGTAGCCACAGACGACGACCGAGTAGACCTCCACGACACAGCACCAGCTCCCAGACTGAAGCAGTAACCCTGAGTCGAACGCTGAGTCTCCACGTCGTCAGCGTAGGAAGAGTCGCAGTGACCAGTCAACGCCACTGGCTGAGTCCCTCCAAGCACAAGCCCCATGCCTGATGTAGTCGCCAGGTACTTCGCCACCCTCACAGCAGCTGTCCAGTGGACAGGACGGTGTCTCCCAGTCGCAACAAAGCGAAAGAGGACGCTGAGGGGAAAGGCGAGGTCCGTCCGAGTACAAGTCATCAGGTACATGAGGCAGCCCACCAGCTCTGCGTAGGGACCACTGGACTCAAAAGGCTCGTCGGGAAAGGGGCCAGTGAGTCTGTGGTCAACAGCAAGAGGAGTGGGCTGTGTGGTGGAGAACTGGAAGTCGAACCGCCGAAGGACCTGCTGCACCATGTGTGACTGCGTCAGTGTGATGGTGCGAGCGGCTCTGTCCCGGGTGATCTGCAAGCCAAGGTAACGCTGCAGCTCACCCAGGTCAGTGCACTTGTGTCTCTTCTGCAGTTCGAACTTCACCTGAGCCAGGGCTGCCCTGTCTGCTGTAGCAAACACCAAGTCGTCGACGTAGACAAGGATAAAGAAGGGAGTAGAACCCGCTCGAACAAACAGCGACGGGTCGGCAGAGGACGGGCTGAACCCAAGGTCACGAAGCGTGGAGCGAAGAGTGTCGTGCCACTCACGGGGCGACTGGCGGAGACCGTAGACTAGTCGCCTCAGGCTCCACTGGGTCCCAGGTGGGAAGGTGTCAGTGAAGCCAGGAGGACGGCGCAGCCAGATCTCCTCGTGCAGTCGGCCCTGGAGGAACGCAGTGGAGAAGTCGAGGGAGTGCAGCTCGTAGTCTCGCTGCGCTGCTATGTGGAGTAACACCCGAAGAGTAGTCATCTTCGGGGTCGGGGCGAAGGTCTGGAAGAAGTCAACTCCCTCACGCTGACTGAAGCCCCTAGCCACGTAGCGCGCCTTGAACACCGGCGGTGCTCCAGGCGGCCGCTTCACCTTGAAGAGCCACATGCCATCGACTACGTTTGCCCTGCGAGGGGGAACTGCGTCGACGTAGGTGCCTGTGGATCTCCAAGACGCCAACTCTGAGTCCATAGCCGCTTTCCACTGAGAGGCCCACGCCCCTGACACTGCCTCGCGGTAAGTGCGAGGAGTCGGTATGTCAAGGGCGTCGGGGTCTCCCTCAGGGGAGAGCAGCATGGCACACACAGAGGGAGAAGCGGCTGCCCAGTACTCCAGCTCAGACTCTCTGTCCTCTAGGACGTCACAGCCAAGGGCAAACTCACCCCCGACGGACAGAGGACGGTAGGGAGGAGCTGGCACCACACGGGTGGCGTAGTCAAGGCGGCTGGCGGCAGCAAACTCAGCGACAGCGGCAGTGAGAGCAGAGACCGACGACGGAGGGAAACGAGAGTCGGTGACAAGAGTGGCGAGGACACGTGCGGCAACAGGACGAACAGTGCGGTAGTAGTCAGTGATAGGAGTGGGGAGGGCTGGGAGAGAGGACGGAGGAGGAGACGGGAGAACGGACACAGGAGAAGGAGAACGACGACGAGACGTACAAAGGAGGGCAGTGTGGAGGTCAGTAACAGGGGACGAGTGACGAGCACGCGGAGGACAACGAGTGACCAAGTCGCGACAGACCGAAGGAGGAGGAGACTGGGGAGGAGGAGAAGACCAGACCGCCGGACGGTCGTCAGGAGGAGGCAACGGAGGAACAAACACAGGAGGAGAGGAGGAAAACCCAAGGGCCTGCAGGCCACTCACAGGTGGGAACAACTGCCGCTCCAGAGGAAGCTGCGGTGGCGGCTGCGGCTGCTGCTGCTGCGGCGGCGGCTGCGGCTGCGGCTGCTGCTGCTGCGGCTGCTGCTGCGGCTGCTGCTGCTGCTGCTGCTGCTGCCGCTGCTGTCGCTGCTGCTGCTGCTGCCGCTGCTGCTCCAGAAGGTCCAGCACCCGCAGCTCCTGCCGCTCCCTCTCCAACCGCTCCTGCTCCTCACGCTCACGCCAGCGGGCAGCCTGGAGTCGTGTGTCCTGGCGGTGGGGAGGCGGAGTGGACTCCGCAGAACCAGGGTCAGACTCCTCAGACTCAGCACCCCCAGAACCAGCACCTTCAGTGCCAGGACCTCCAACTCCAGCACCCCCAGGACTAGCACCACCAGTGCCAGCACCTCCAGCTCCAGCACCCCCAGAGCTAGCGCCACCTGCGCCAGCACCTCCAGCTCCAGCACCCCCAGAGCTAGCGCCACCTGCGCCAGCACCTCCAGCTCCAGCACCCCCAGAGCTAGCGCCACCTGCGCCAGCACCTCCAGCTCCAGCACCCCCAGAGCTAGCGCCACCTGCGCCAGCACCTCCAGCTCCAGCACCCCCAGAGCTAGCGCCACCTGCGCCACCACCTCCAGCTCCAGCACCCCGCGACCGAGTACCCCCAGACCTAGCACCGCCAGTGGCTGCACCTCCAGCTCCAACACCAACCGAGTCCACAGTAACCTGTCGCGGAAGTGCCGAAGGCTGCTGAGGGGACTGTGAGGAGGACTGCGGGGAGGGAGACGCTACCTGACGCGCGACCGAGGGTAGAGGGGTAACGTGGGACACACCAGACGGGGCAGGACCAGGGGGGGGCGGGGGTACCAGAGGAGCGGGAGCAGGAGGAGGAGAGGGTGCGAGGAAAAGAGGGGGAGGGGGTACCGGGAGACCTCGACAGGGGTACCGGGTGTAGTAGGACACGGACTCGTCAAACCGGACGTCACGGGAGTCTAGAAAGTGGTGGAGGGGAGGGTGATAAAAGGACCAGTCGGCAGAGTCCACTGGGAAACCAAGGAAGACACAGGGGACGGCGCGTGCCGAGAGCTTGTCCGCGGAGGTGTCGCGAACAAGTGCAAGGCAGCCCCAGACTCGAAAGGCCGACCCGACACCAGGGGAACCAGTCCAAAGACTGGTCGGTGAAACCTCGGGCCGCGAGACACGCGGCTGGAGGTTCAGCTGGTGTGCGGCGTAGCGAACCGCGTGGGGCCACAGAAAATGGGGCGCACGGGCATGGATCATGGACGTGCGGGCGATGTCCATGACCAAGCCTATGCGGCGCTCAGCAACCCCATTCTGCTGTGGGGACTCTGGCAGCGTCCAGGACTGGGTGATGCCCTGTTCGCCGCAGAATCCGCCGAGAATGCCGGAGCGAAACTCGCCCCCACGGTCGGAGTGGAGACAACTGACTCGACGACCACGAGTGCCCTCAGTGGCTAGAAGCCACCTGATCAGCGTAGCAGTCACCTCGGACTTCTTCGCAAGAGGGAACACTGTGGTGTACCTGGAGAAGTCGTCAACGACCACCAGAAAGTAACGCTCCCTCCCAGACCCCTGCGTCGGGGCAGGGCCCCAGACGTCCAAGTGGAGAGTCTCGAAGGGAGCGGTGGCCGGACGAAGGGAGGAGGAGTGGGGAGTGGCGCGTAAGCGACCGGCGACGCACGGAGAGCAAGGAGGGGCAAGCGAGGGAGGGAGCGACGGGAAGGTGCGTGGGAGACCTGAGACAAGTCCCTGACTGAGCATGCCACGTAGGCGAGGGAGCGACGGGTGGCCAAGGCGGTGGTGCCACAGGACGGTGCGGTGGGTGAGAGAGCGACAGGAGCAAGACGCAGCGACTGGACTGGGCACAGCGACCGGACCGGACACGACTACCTGGCTAGACACAGCAACTGGACTGGGGACCTGGGCCAGAGGGGACGCAACGACCTGAGGGGAGGACGCGACCGGGGAGCGCTCGGTGTGAAGAACGTAGAGACCGGAGCGGGGCTCCCTGGTGAACGTGGCCAGAACAGCACCTGTGGTAGCGTCTGTACAGACTGCAGTCCGCCCACCCCCCACGAAGGTAACCGTGATCCCCCTGTCCTGGAGGTATCCAACACCCACCAAGTTCCGAGTGAACGAGGGGATGTGGAGGCCGCGCAGGACACCAGAGGGGACCACAGGGCACGGGAGGGTGGTGGAGCTACGCGCAACGGCTGGTCCAGAGGTAGGAT